TAATAATTCGTGATTATTTTGAAGGATTTGGGGTGGCAGTTGTTCCACAGGAGATGTTAGGCAGCCCTGGGCGAGTCCTGTTCTGGCAGCATTTGCATTTCCAGGCGGTCAGCCGGGATCGCGTTTTCTTTACAATACATTCATGCTTTTTAATGATGTGTTATCGAAAACGAGTCCGAGATGTGCTTGTTTTGAAAAGTTCTGCAAAAATCTTTGATGCTAGGGCTAAAAAACAGCAAAAAGAGCAGGTCTGGCTACTCTGTGCGTACTGGATCAAGTCGCTTAGTGCCGGCTTGCAAGCGGGTCTTGTAGCTCAGAACGCTTTGATCGTTTTTTTGGAAAAATTAGCCCATTTTGCTCTCCAGTTTCAAAATTTCACTCCTTTGTCAGAAACAATCAAATTCACTTGCAGAAACTGAGTGCAGTGAGTTGAGCTATTTCGAATTATGTTTTTACACTCAGTGCTAGCACAGATCACTGGAGAGAGGGTTGAGGCCCCTTGTTAGCGATACTGAAATGCCTTCATACGTTGGACTTGTAAGTTTTAGTCACATTATTGTAGTCATGAAAGTTGTGCAGGCCTCACAATCACTTTTTACCAGAGACCAGCTTTTTCGGGTTTTTTTTGGCTTCATTGTCTGTGCTTTGTGGGTATTTTTTTTTCACTTTTAGGGTAGTATGGAAGGTAATCCAGTGGTTCAAGTTGTTTTGATTGCTGAATCAAGTCGCTTGCAAATGATGCTTTCAACTTACGGTATCAGTACCCAGACACCTCATGATCTCGAACCGGTGCAAATTTGGCCAAGTTGGAAGATGGTTAAGGTTTGTACCTGTTCTCCTGATTCTCTGAGTGGTTTTCCCGATTACAAGATATAATAAAAATGAAATGGTTTTTTCCTTCACTGCGCGCTGCATTTGTTTTGAAAAGCTGTCTGTGGTGTGCATACATTTCATTGTGACTTCCTCTTCATTATTTATCCAACTGTGTGCGTCTACTGATTGTACCTCGAAAAATTTTAGGATCGCGTCCCAGACAGTCAGCGTGGGAATCCCATGTTATTGATATTGCTGTGATGCTCCCACGTGTTGGACCTCGTCAATATGCGTTTTCTGTATTGCATAGATGCAAAAAAACGCATATTAGCCACGCACTGTTAAAAAAAATGCCGACTTGGGAAGTGCCAGCATCCCATTTCCGCTCCTCTCACCTCCTTCCTCCTTTCTTCTCTTCTTTCTCATCACTTCTCCAGCGACTGTAACTCGTCTCTCAACGTGACCGAAGCAGGCCAGGCAGTTGCCCTAAAACTCCAGGTCATGCTAGCAAGCGGGTTGTCACAACTGCTCGGGGGAGGAGGCTTAGGAGCAGAGGCGGGGGATGATGGTCGGAGATATTAGTTCGGGTCTCGGGAGATCGTAATGAGAGGAGTGAACGGGGTTATTGACCGGAGAGAAGCTGAGACCTTGACTGGAGGTAGGAAGTGGAACCAGAGAAGAGGTTTGTAAAGGAAGCGACCTACAAGGCTTCTTTGTTTCCACGACGAAGCTTGATCCTGTGAGGAAATTAGGTCTTGAATTTTTTACCTACAACCTCACCTACACAAAAGATCTATTACAAGACTTTCACTGCTTGAACTCGAACTCAAAAACAAGTGCACATTACGCGGCCAAATCGAGTTTCACTCACCGTTGAAACCACAATATCAGTCGATAGCAAGAGGGTGCACAAGCATGCAAGCTATTGCTTATCAGAGGTACCGATGTTCTTATGCGGTGGACAATCTAGGAGCGATTATTGAACCTCGGCTCGGCTGGTATTGTGAAAACGCTCTAGCTTTTCTGCCAGCGCTGTTCCACGGCGTCACTTGCCACTTTGTCAGCGAGCGCTGGGTAGTACTACCCAGTTAGTGTTCGATGGTTGGGTCGCATGAAGGTGCCCAAATGCAGCTGAATTAGGGACAGGACAGAGGAGGGGAACAGGGGTACGGGTAAGGAGTTCGAGGCAAGAACTGGAAGCAGTTGTAAAGAGGAAGAAACAACGCGGCGGCACAAAGAAAAGCATATTAAAGAAAACCTAAGTTTAAAAAAATAAATAGCGAAGCGCACCAAGTGCGATTATGCGTTTTACGCAGTTCCGTCTAGCGGACGTTTGCTTACCAAAAATGTAACTTTTTTACACTTTCGTATATGGAAAAACAATAGGTATGCTCTCTGACTTCTAAGGTGAGGTATTTCTCACTGAAAATTTCACGTACCGATACGTGAAAGCTGAATCTGAAAACACGAATGGGGAACATCCGTCTAAATCTTAACCTCGTAGTTTTCGGCCTCCGAGCTAGTGACTTTCAAATCACAGTTTTCAAGTGACCTCTGCATACTTGGGAGCTGCATTTGAGTTTGTGAGGTACCTGCAGCGGCAGAAAAT